GGGGGATGGTTCCATAAACATGTTGGGGTGAGACACCATTTGCTTTTTAGACAGTCTTCACAACTGTGTACTGGAAGGAGAAAACCTCCCCCCCCCTCCCCTTTCACTTCTTCCTTTTCATTTGAAGTATTGGTGTCTTCAGGAGAGACAGAACAGTGGTCCAAAATGGTCAAAAGTATACGATCCGCATCGACATTTCCTTTTCTTTTCTATGGCTCCATAATGGGGCGGATGATGTTGCTACGGCGGCGGCAGGGGCATAGAAGTGTTGGACGGTTCAGTTGCATTAGGGAGGATCATGGCTCGACACGGTGCACCAGGGCACAGCGCACTACCACAGTGTACTACACTACAGCGCCTTGAGGAGTCCCACGCACCGCTCACAAATAAATGTACTTGCTGATCCTCCAAATGGGGAAGACATCAAAGCAGTGCACTGTTTTTGTATTGTTTTTGTTTTTACCAATCGTTTTCCTCTCACCCTCTATGTAAGAGAGAGGAGGGGCGATGAAGAGGGTTGGGGTGTTTGTTGCAAGGGGGTTTATCAGAGAGCCAAAGCCAAAGCAAAGGTCACAACAGGATGGGAGTACAAAGGTCACCCACCCACACAGCCCACCCTTGCACACCCCCTCCATGCACCTCTTATTCATGGTGGCGTGTTGTGTTTCTCACACAACTAACAATGATTTGAATGAAAAAAAAACTTACCAAGTTATAGTCCTCAGCCTCGGCAGTCATCTTCATTTTAGTACGAGTCAATCAGGAAGTTTGCATATCAGGAGACCTGCTCGGTCTCTGTCCCCACTGCAACAAACATTTCAACAATTGGCTCACAAAGTCTCAACGGATAAAATTAACAGCTATTCTATATGGGCCTTAACACGTTGAGTCCCACGTGACCACATGTATGGTCACAATAACATGTAATTGCAGCCCCCCCCTGGGACTCAACGTGTTAATATAGGTAAAATTGACTCAAATGAAAAAAAAAACATGCAAGAAAACTAGGATGTTAATGCAAATTATCAATACTGTTGTCAATAAAAGAAACTGACTTACGGGCCAGTGACCCATGGATAAGTAACAACAAGTTCTGTATGAGTTAGTTTAGTAGAACGGCTAGCCACACACGCCCATTGGTAGCGATACGAAGCCGAAAACATACAAGTGCAGTTACAGAACATATGATATGCTGTAAGATTTATATAGTGTCAGCCTCCAGGGGCATATGCTGGGGAAACCGTATGACAAACATTTTGAGAAACGTAAAACTAACCAGTCTTTTTTGGGTGACATAATCCGGTGAGTGATATGATTGAAGGAAAATACGCCCCTGTTTACTTTTATGATGACTTCACCCATCAGAAGCAGACGACGACGACACTACAGGGCTGCCACCAAAAAGAAACAAAAAAAAACAGGGGTACCACTAGGTTCAAATCTTAGTGTCACAGGCACCATCCAACACTAGTATTTGCATTAGCAAAACCAAATCAGATGAAAATTTTTCTCAAATTTTCACTGAAAAGTTTAACAGATTCAGAGGAACTGTTGAAAATTCCCCAAAACGCTCGAACGTTTTTCAACTGTCTACTCTTCCGATCGATATACATCGAGCTCTCTCCCGCTCCCCGGATATTCTCATTCCTTAGTTTTGGTTCACTTCTTCAGGGTTTCCGGTCGCCCACTGTAAGCACGCAAAGGTTCGTAAAGAAATACATTTTTCTGGTTGAAATTTGATTATCGGTTTCCACTCTTGTTGAGATGCTACTACGGGCTTTGTTCACAATTTCTGATTAATTGTGTTCAAATCTCTGGCCGTTTTTCTCGGATGCTTTCGGATTATTTGCCTAGTGTTCGGAGGCCGGAGCGTGCCGTGGCCCGCAGGGCACGTCACTAACCAAACTTCCAGTGTGTTCAACCAGTACATTCACACCTCAGTTTTACACTTTTTCTCAATTTGTTTAGGATTTACCATGGCCCCCAGGAAAGGGAAGGTTCAGCAAGAGCAGGTGCAGGTCCACCTGGGCCCTCAAGTGCGCGAAGGTGAAATTGTGTTTGGTGTGGCACACATCTTTGCCAGCTTCAACGACACATTCGTCCATGTCACTGATCTGTCCGGAAGGTGAGTTCTGCCAAATATTGATTGTATCCGTCATTAGGTATTATTGCTCTCTGCTGGCTTTAATGTTGACTGTAGCCGTATATGTAAATATTCGGCCTAACCTTACTCGTACGTGATATCGCCGGTCGACTGTAAACACTGCTGGTTTGAGAGCAAGTGTTCATTGCTATCACAGTTGAATCGTAACATGTCTCTTTGCCCCTGGTAACTTCTCTGAATGGTGTCATAGAGGAAAGACCGTCATTACTAAAGTCCATGTATTGATTTCACTGTCATCTCATTCCTTTATGCATTTAGTCTATTCTCACCTGTGTGCCTGAAATTGTTGTGTGAACTCAGTTTGTGTTCACACTGTCGTATGCCTGAGTATATTTTTATTGTCATTTGGTTCTAGGGAAACCATTGCCCGAGTCACTGGTGGCATGAAAGTCAAGGCTGACCGTGATGAGGCTTCACCCTACGCTGCTATGTTGGCCGCTCAGGTGGGTCTTCTACCTTTGCTTTGTCAATTTCTTCATGAATGTTATTTTCTCTAACTGAAGTACCACCTTCGTGTTATGCTTGTGTACAGGATGTTGCTGAGAAGTGCAAGACCCTTGGCATCACTGCTCTCCACATCAAGTTGCGTGCCACTGGTGGCAACAAGACCAAGACCCCTGGTCCCGGTGCCCAGTCTGCTCTGCGAGCTCTTGCTCGCTCATCCATGAAAATTGGCCGTATTGAAGATGTTACTCCCATTCCCTCAGACGCCACCAGGAGGAAGGGAGGACGACGTGGTCGCAGATTGTAGGCGATATGTTTTGTGAATAAATTAAGTTTTCCCTACCTGGGAGGGCAATTTTCCTTGTCTACAATTTGCCTACATCTTCCTTATCTCTAAGTAACACGTTTTTCTTTGAAGTGGAACTTAAATCAGAAGTTCTTCATCATGAGAAATTTTACAAAAATGAGCTTGCTCAAAAAAGTGGCCACTTGAGGTCAATATGACACCTCTGGATGTTAGTTTGGCAGAATTGAAAGAGATTACTGCTCTAGATAGCAAATACGTGAATGAATTTTTCCAACGAGGTAATAGATGTTAAAATAATTATGCATTTAACAATCTCACAATATATTTCAAAAAAGACAATGAAAAAGTAAACTGCACATTTGTGTCCTAATACAGTCTCAAATAAAGCATATGAAACATTTAAATCTAATGAGCACTACAAAAGACAGAGCTAAGATAGAAATGATCTACAACGTTCATGAAATACTTTAAGAGACCTCTCTTTAACAATTTCTTCAACGCTTAGTTCAGACTGCAACATCCGCAACTGCAAAAAAAGATGTACAATAGTTGTTAAATCTTGACATTGAAAAGGAGGGCAGCAACACAAATGATCCGTACCGTTGTTTGCTCTCTCCTTAAATCTTTAATTACAGAGACATTGTTGGGATCCTTCTCCTTCTCTCCGGCCAAATTCTTAATACGGTTGGCAGAAAAAGAAATACATCCTTTTATGACTTTTTCACGTTGAGTATATGTTGCTGTAAGCTAAAAGATACAAATCACATGAGGCACTTGTACTTTAAAACAAGATGAACAGTAAACAATTGAATGATATGGACTGACATCCGCAAACAATTCTCTACAAGTTGCTGAAGGGTCCACCTCATCTCTTCTGAAATCTGTTGGAAGTTTTGCATTCAATGTGTTGATGATTTTGTCATCAATTTCTCGCATTGATTTTAAATTAGCCTGAAAACCAAGAAGGTGTAACGTTATTGCTTAACCACAACAATAAATTATGAAAATCAAATAACAGCATACATTTATGCAGAGATATGTGAACCTTCATAACCAAAACATTGGGTTTCCTACAGAAATCTCGGCTTAAAATACATGTAACTGTATGGCGATGAACCAAAAGCGTACCTGAAACAACTGGAAGTCAGCACATTCAACCCGCTGAGTGAGATCCATTTTAAAATATGATAAAAATGCCAAAGTTTCAGCAGCTCCAACCAACACAACTACCGGGGATGGACGGACCTAGACCCGGCTATTGGCAGTCGATACACCATTGCACTATTGCCAGAAAGCAGACAGTCAAATGAAAAATGACAAAAACGTACTATTTTACATGATGATGCGGACAAGCACAATTGCTTCCTTAATCATGCATGATCATGCATAATCGCTGCGAAAAATTAAATGTATACAGAAAGAAGGCCTAACAAACTTACCTTAGACTATCAGTTCGTTGGCAAGTACAGTCACGAAAAAGCCTATTTCACGAACCAAAAAGTTCTGAATATTTATATTCGTTACAAAAATGTTCAGTGGAACACTAAAATTCTGATTGAAATTGAGGACAGAGCAGGAAAATACAAACAATTTTCAGTAGGAGATAACTCTGAAAATGATTTCTTTGTGTGGCATGTAGGCGATTTAGGGAAGGCGCAATCCCATGATTCCAAGACGATCCGTCAGTCGATGGTTCGTCCGCTGATCAAATTCAAGGCTCAAAAATTCTGCAAGTTCAGTGTTTTATGTCGGATATTTTTGTTTGTTGTGTCTCACGAGCATAAAGGTAACGCGAATGATCTTACATTAGTACTTCTTTGCTTGAACTTCTCTCGAATTTGCTGTATACGCTTCAACTTCCTTACATAAGTTTGGGGGTTCTTCTGGTTACACACATATATATATAGATAGATCTACTCATTTGCCTGTAGATAAATACATGCTCACCTACTCTAGTCCCATAATATCGTAATTGACATTTTCAATCTCAATTCTTGGAATGTTTTACCGGTTTCGGCTGCACTGTTTTTGACTAGCTGCTATATCTGGCCTCGGTGCCGTAATTATCAAGAGTAATACATTTCTAACCTCATTCTTGTCAGCACTTTTGAAGTAAAATCGTACTTCTAGAGTCCTGTATTTTCTGTACCATTGTTTCCAAACTCAAAGAGTAATTTTGATTGGTTTATATCAGTCATTCATCATGAGCCATTGTTTTAATTTTTTTTATCATTGGCATTGAGTTGCTAGTTAAAAGTACACTTTTTGGGTTTTGCCTACTTTCAATTAATCAGATTTTGGATAGAATCTGTCTTGCTCGATTTTTCAATACACCCTTAACCAGTGGTTTCTTTCTAATACATTTTATGTTTTGATCTCCTTGTGGCAATTGAAACTCCTATAATAAAAATTTGTTTGGGAAGATGTCCGGGCCTTCACACAAGCATCGTTACAAGAACTCGGGTTTGGATTCACGAGAATTGCGCCGACGAAGGGAAGAAGAAGGAGTTCAACTTCGCAAACAAAAACGAGAAGAGCAGCTCTTCAAACGCAGGAATGTTAACTTACCAGAATTGCCTGACGATGAAAGACCCAAGCTGGTAGGTATTTAAGAATAGAATATTTTGTCCTCTTACAGTCAGATGCTTCCAATAAGTAATCCACACCTTTGTTTGTGCACAGGATGATACTGCTTGTCTCAACAAAATCTCAAAAGATATGGTTGAAGCTCTTTACAGTGACAATATAGATCTGCAACTTTCAGCCACCCAACGATTCCGCAAACTTTTATCTCGCGAACCAAATCCTCCAATTGATGAAGTTATTCAAACAGGCATTGTTCCACGTTTTGTCACATTTCTCCAGAGCGTTGAAAATACTACATTACAGGTTGTTTGATCGGAACTGAGTTTTACAAATCTAATTCCTTCAGCTTCTGAAAGTACATTTCCACTTACCGAATATGCCTCTACTTTACAGTTTGAAGCAGCTTGGGCACTGACAAACATTGCATCAGGAACTTCTGTTCAGACCCGAATGGTCATTGACGCAGGAGCCGTTCCAATATTTATCCATCTTTTAAGCTCCGCTAGTGAAGATGTCCAAGAACAAGCTGTTTGGGCTCTTGGTAATATTGCTGGAGATTCTCCAGAGTGCCGTGATTATGTCCTGAACTGTGGGGTTCTTGTCCCTCTTCTTCAGTAAGTTCTAGAACACTGTTTTCTTGGAAGTATTGTTCTTTTTCTGTTTAAGTTGCCTCTTTTCAAGTAGGACACTTGTTGTGTCTTCTATAATAAATTCATCTTCTTATTTTCAGACTTCTAAGCAAGTCTACTAAGACCACTATGCTGAGAAATGCAGTATGGGCATTGTCTAATCTGTGCCGGGGGAAGAACCCTCCTCCAGATTTCAAGAAAGTAGCACCATGTCTCCCTGTCCTATCTCATCTGCTGTTTAAAGAAGACCCTGATGTTCTAGCTGATGCTTGCTGGGCATTGTCGTATTTGTCTGATGGTCCAAATGATAAAATTCAGGCGGTCATTGAATCGGGTGTGTGTAGGAGACTAGTAGAACTTCTCATGTAAGTCATTTTAAATTGTCAATTTCTGCAAGATATTTACTTTCTTATTTCTGGACATAATTTAAGTGTATCTTTTTGAATAGGCACAATCAGGACAATGTCATTTCTGCTGCTCTTCGAGCTGTTGGCAACATAGTAACAGGGGATGATGTTCAAACTCAAGTAATTCTGAATTGTTCTGCTCTGCCTTGTCTCCTTAATCTCTTGGGATCGAATAAAGAAGCTGTAAGGAAAGAAGCCTGCTGGACCATATCCAACATAACTGCAGGCAATAGACAACAAATTCAGGTATTTTTTCATATCGTGAGCTGTGCCATTACCTTAACTTGGCCCCCAATCCTTCACTAACTTGCTGTTGCAAAATAATTACATATTTCTAGGCTGTTATTGATGCCAATATCTTCCCAGCAATTATTGACATCCTTGGAAAAGCAGATTTCAAAACCCGTAAGGAAGCGGCCTGGGTTGTGACAAATTCAACATCAGGTGGTAGCCCAGACCAAGTTCGGTATCTTGTAAACCAGGTAATACTCTCATTGTTTTTAGTGTTTTGTTTGTTTATGGTGTAGAAGTGACTCACCAAGTGCAAATTCCTGTCTAGGGCTGTATACCACCACTCTGTGAACTTTTGACTGTAATGGATGCTAAAGTGGTTCAAGTGGCATTAAATGGGCTAGAGAATTTGTTGAGAATAGGTGAGCAGGATGCCAAAGCTGCAGGAGCAGGAGCTGTTAACGCTATGGCTGTGCTGATCGAAGAATGCTATGGTAAGTTGTTGTGTGCAGCAGTCTTCCTTGTTACTTTTTATAATAATTTTTTGGGGTGAGCCTAAATAATTTTTTTGTACCATGAATTCTTCTTCCTGCAGGTTTGGACAAAATAGAATTCTTACAATCTCATGAAAACACTGAAATCTACAAGAAGGCCTTCCACATCATTGAGGAATTCTTTGGTTCTGAGGAAGAGGATGCACGAGTTGCACCATCAGTAGATGCAGAGGGAGGTCAATATCAGTTCACCGATCAGAGCGTTCCTATGGGTGGTTTCCAATTTTAATCTAATCTAACGCTCAAGGCTCTAATGCCTTACACAGTGTAAAACTAATTCAATTGTTGTACAGTAAGGTTGTTTTAAAACTGATCATATTCCACCGTAATGTTGGATAAATTTACAGCACAATATTCAACCATGAAAAGAAAATTTAAGTTATATGTTGTACTCCAGAATTTCAGGTTGTAAGAAACTATGCCATTTTGCCACCACCTTCAAAATATATTGATTGCTGTTTCTAATTCAATTTTGTTTTCTCTTTATCTATTTACTTTAGAATTTTAAATGTGTTTTCAAAAAAAAAAAATTTCACTTGCTACAAGGTTACACATAGTAATAAATGTCTAGTATTGTAATGGGTATAATTACAGGGTGTCTAGCCACTAAAAATATGATATTCTCTTAACAGGTACTGTATTATTGTGATAATTTCTGCCGTAGAAGTCTGTGGAACCATGTATGTTGACATGTTTTGCTCTCTTGTGTGTTCCTTATTTTTTGGTTCCACTAGGTTGCTATAAACTAAAATTGCCATGTTATGTTTTTCAAAATTGTCCAGTTTGGATGTTAATGGAAGTTATTTCCTAGACACCCTATTGAAGTTAGAATGGCTTGTCCTCCTTGTGTCTTCAGTTCTCAGATTCTATTTTGAAATGTGTGTAATGAATTGTATATTCTTCGGGTGGGAGGGGGAGGGGGGGGGGGCATTTTATGACTTGTGAAACTTTGACCGACAGTAATTGACACTGACATCACTGAATTCACTTTATCTTGTGCCAAGGAATTCTCTACTTTTCCAACGTGTGCTTTCCTATTAGACTTCTGTTATTTTTTATTTCTAATCCTCTTCAAATCTAATGTCATTACAGACAACATAAAGAATTATGTCTTCTGTACTGTACAATTAAGACAAAAAGAGTAATCTTTTTTGTTGTGATCATGAAATCTGCATGGAAATTTTTGTTTGTAAAGGTACAATCACATTTCATACTATAAGAGAGCTCATGTTTTGACTGTCCAATTGGGCAAAACCCTGTTTCTGCCTTGTGTCACCCAATCCTGATAGTAATTAAAACCAGCTTGTGTTCAAGTAAAAGTAATTGTTCAAATTCAATGTTGGTAATTCTTTCAATTTCTTTGATGTACTGGTAAACTTATGTTGGGTAGATATAAAATTTGGCAGAAAGCCTGTGGATGTCAAATTTACTGTCAAGATTTTTTAAGTATTGGTACTACAATAAATGGCTCTTAAACTTTGGAATGAATTGACTGTATTTTTGTTAAAATTTGCATTTATGATGTGTAAAATATTTATTCCGTAACATTTTTTTCTCATCCTTTCTTTACTGAAGTAGTCTATGGTAATGTTCTATATTCTTTTAAGTCTACATGCTGTAATTTCCCAACATATTCAACGCACCTTTCAGATTTTTTCTCACTTATTTTTTGTTTGTATGGTGTCATCAAACTGTGGCAATTACCATACAATGTATGGTACCTGACGAATTAGTAGTGAACAATGGAGAAGGCATCAGTTCACCTTATTTTTCATGTTAATGAAGGATAACAATTGACGAATTAAAGACTGCTGAATATTTTTAGTGCGTGTCATAAGGCAGTTTTGATGACTAAGTTTTACTAGAATATCTTACCTCAAGAACATTACTCTGCATGAAAATATGAAAGATTCCAAGTTAGGGCTTAACTTTCTATTTTGCAAGGAACACATGTTACTTCTAATGTAATTGAAAGTTTTTTGTTTTGTTTGTGTACTGTCATTGATTTTGGCTAATGACCACTGATGGTCTGACATATATTGTGCCTCAAAATAACCCGACAATGTTAGAGGAATTAGTATTGACAAACTTTGTGATGCTTTAATTGAGGCCGAACCTTTTCCTACTCTGTTTTACATGTTTTATGAGAGACTTATATACATTAACATTTTAAGCAGCAACTGAGCAAGATCACCTATGTACTTCACAACCTCTTCAGAAACTGTGTTATCCTTTTCCTGTGTCTATGGATATACATAAATAATTGGAAAAATGAGGAAATATCCTGGGCCTCATTTTGCTGTAGTTATTATGAAATCTGTGATATGCCTTTCAAGCAGCTTGATATAGGTTTGGTAAATAAAATTGTTCCTCAGGTGCTTTACCTTGACGAGGCTAACATTATGTATTATATGTTACAAAAAAAAAAAATTGTTACCTTTTAGCTGAGAGGGTACATGTGTAAATATTTGAGTTCAATTCCCAGCAAAAGTAGTTTGGCATATTCAGGTGCCATGGAGTTCTCTGTATTTTTTATTTACCTTGTTATCTTGTCTTCTTGTGCTGCTTATTCATACTGTACTGGCAAACTAGACTGTGACTAACGAACATGACATAACTGTCCCAGTTTTTTCTGTCTGTCCCTCTTACGCTACTGTACTGGGTGTCATCATCTGGTAATAATTATTATTTAATAGAGCTTTCTCTTTTTACCAGGATCATTTTTGGTCTGCATACTTCTGTAGAATTGATTCTGGAGACACCTCTTGTTTATTTCCTGTATGAATGGCTAACATTCTAACCATATCGTGTACCATAACCATGTAATTTTCTAGAAATATCTTGATTGTCTTGAGAAAGAAATGCTTAGTAATGTACATGTAAACCAAAAATATTAAAATGTTGACCTTGTGACAAAGTGTTTTATAACTAGCACATAGATTATAAATAACAATCCTAGTCACAGCTTCACATCAGACAACATTGTTATTATTTCATGTTGTCTTATCAAATTGAGCCATGTAACCTTGCTTTTAGTGCTGTAGTGAGACTAGCTGCAATCAATCTAGAATTTGGACAAACGTGATGTATTTTGTTGCCCTAAATCTATTCTGAATCCAGTTCTTATCACTCTTGTCTTTGGTAAACAGGTGCTCCCATGCAGGAAATGAAATAATTTCCTGCTTGGAATGAAAAGGCCGGCAGCATGAGACTAGTCTAAAACTGTAGGAATTGCTATTTTTCCTGTCCTACTTAAATGCATATTGATATAAATACCATGTCTCAAATTCTGTATTTTCTGTAGTGAGGAATCTTGTATCAGTTTTGTTTTCAGTTTCAATGTTGTAGTTAATTTTTGAAGAAACATGAATCATAATATTATTTGATCTTTATTATATGTCTACTTCCATGATACCAAAAATACCTCACTGTCAACAACCCACAGAAGAAAAGTCATACCATCATTCATCAGGGAACAGATCAACTTTAGCCTGGATTCATTACTATTCCATCTTAATTTATTGACACAATAATACTGACAAAGTATTCTCGCCAAAACCTGCATTCAAATTAATTTATTTTCTGTAACATGTCATTTTGAGAACTGCAAAAGATTAGGTGACAGGGAACGATTAACAGGGAAGTTTTTCTTCTGGTTCAACAAACTCAACAAGACTAGTGAGCCTTGCAATGAGTGCATCCAAATAATCGCTTTCAATATCTGACCAAATATTTCGTAAAGTGTTTTCAGCTGATGTTACAGCTTTAACTGTTCCAGACCTTCCGACGGTCAAAGTTAAGAAATATGCTGCCTTTGCAAAGTTAGATTCATTCTCATCACAGAAATAATGTAAGCCATGTGCTGCTGCAGCTGGCAACTTCTCTAAATGTTTTATGACAACAATTGGACCCTTCTTCTGAACCTTTTCTCTGGTTTTATTAATGGATTGGAAATCTTTCTCAACTAGATGAAGTGGCTGCCGGTTTGCGAAAAGTGTGGCGGCACTACTTGCTACCTGAAATGGTTAAAGAGCTCTTAGATTTGAACATATTTTTTAAAAAATCTATCAACAGTTTGAATAATTACCTGTTCGATTAAACAGTTGGTACTATTTTCAGACAGTTCATCTCCTCGGTTCAGCAAAAGTAGGACTCTGGGACAGGAACTATCGGAGTTTGTAACATTTATAACATGAATTACATGAGACCAGAGCTTGTTCGATTGAGAAGGGAATATTTTTTTTAAATCTTTTATAGTCTTAATCAAATTTTCCCGCTGGTTTTCCTCTGAATTTTTCTGACTCACATGATACCAAGTAAATGGTATTAATACAATAAATAATACAATGCAGCAATATAAATATACGTTACGGTTCGTTGAAAAATTAGTGCTGGGAACTTCTTTATCTTCTGGTTCTTCATCTGAATCACTGGATGTTCCAACTGAAGAGTTCAAGCTGGATGTATCCTCAGTCTTACTGTGCCTATTGAATCTTCGATGGAGCTGAAAGATACACAAATAACATATTTATTTTTTTAGTAAATAGAGTTCATACTAAATTAGGAAGTTAGGTCCCATCGTCATTGGATAGACATGCTATAGTGTGTCTGTCCAACATTATTGGGATACAGGCTGCTCCCTGTTCTCTCTTTTTGCTAGAACAACCAAATTACTAGTGAGCGAGTATATACCCACTTCACAGGCTGCTTGCTACCTGTTAACAGCTGGGAGGTTTACACCAATACAAAATTTAGCCTTGTTTCTCAAACTTCCAATCCTGAAGGCGATTTTCATGGAAAGGACGCGAAAGAAATGTCATATCGACAAAATTTATCACAAAGGGAATACCTTTTTTCAGAAAGGCAAATTCGAGGATAGGTAGGTAACAAGCAGAACTACTCTAAACAAGTACCTTATTATCAGAATCAGAATTAACAGCACTGCGTGTCTTCATGTTCAAGTTCTAGAGAAGAACAAGGAACGCCGGTAAAAGCTTATTGCGTGCCCTTCAATCAGCTGCTTACAACCCGATCCCGATAGTAATTAAAACCGTTAAAAGACGAAAATAAATAAATAATACAGTCGTCCCACGATTACTTTACCGTTCGGCTTTTCGCCGACGAGGCTTCTGATTGGCTTAGAAGGCGTTCGGGCCCATCACGTGACCTTTTCCGAACGGTAAAGTAATAGTGGGCCGACTATAAACTGCGACTTGCGACCGGTCGGTTGACAGCCTAGGAGGTAGGCAAGCCGCCAAGCGCTGCTCAATTTGCCAACATTCACTCCCGAAAACTCTATTCTCAAAGAAAGATTAAACCTCTACTTACCTTATATGTGAACCAAAAAACCAGATTTAAGTAGTTTTTAAACGACATTTTTCAAAATAAAAGCCAAGAAAGCTAATAAGAGCAAAACTATTTTGTACCTTTTTTGTGTCGAAGGTTACTTGATCTGGACGCTTGTTCTTGTAGCAGAAGAAAACTTTGTTTTATTTTCCAATCTGTTGATGATATTTATCTCTTTATTCATCGATTCTCACGGTGTTCAACAGTTTTGCTGGAGGATTATGCGTGCCGTGCATTTTGTTGCGAAATACTGTGCATAATATACTGTTACGTTAGGGTCCAATGACGAAATTCAACTCAAAATCTGCCGTACGTGATAGTTTTGACGAAGAAGAGGCTAGTGATGATGTCGACGATGAAGTTTTTATCCGTGATGGCAAGAATGGGTACAAAATGGATGAAGAGAGTGGCCTCAAAAAGCCCCTTATGCCGTTGAGGAGGCGTCAAAAACCTGCTTATTTTGCTCCCGGTGCCACTCAAGACACCAAGAGTAGATGCAAAATTTTCTTCGCTCCCTGTTGCTATGGCTTTGCAGCTCTTTCAATACTTTTGGGTTAGTTTTGTAAACTAAGAACGTTTGAGATAATTCATTGATTCAGATGAAGACATCACTTTATTATTATCTGTCTGTTTTAGGTCTTCTAGCCCTTTCTGTGATCATCATAAACTATTTCCCTTTGCCATTAAGTAAACTTCTTGTGTGGTTTGGAAAGAATAGTCATCTGCCCAACCAAAAATTAATTCCTTGCACTGAGCTAGTCACTTCCGACGTTTGGGTACAGACATTTCCTAAGTTGACATCAGAAACTGCAGTTCGTCTCAGTGACGTTAATCATGATGGGGTACTAGATGTAATCCTGGGATATGGTACAGGTTGGTAAAGTTGGATTTAAATTTATTATTTTTTGTCAAGTTTTGCTTTTTATTTTAATTTAGAATTTATTTTTGTTTCTGCCTACAGCTTTTGTACTTTCAAGTAGTGATATGGTTTCTTGATTTATTGTGCCAGGTAGAGTGAGCTGTGAGTTTTTATTTTTCCATATGTTTCCGTTTATGTAGTTGGCGTGCAATTTTTTATCATTAACGTTTTTTGTTCTGTGTGTTATTTTTTCTTTTTCTTCTATGTTGAGCTTTGAAGATATCATTGTTCTTATGTCTTCTTTCTAATATACATATATTTTGGCCTTGATTTAGGAACGGATGGAAGAAATGTTCCTGACTTTGTTTGCACACTGTATTTTGGACGTGATCCCCCTTGTCTTGGTGGGATTGTTGCACTTAATGGTAAAACTGGTGAGATATTGTGGCAACACTGGACTCGACGTCCAGTTTTCTCCGTGGACTGTAGTGCTGATTTAACCAAAGATGGAGTAGATGATTGTTTGGTTGGTGGCAAAGGTGGTGTAAGTACTTTTTTCAAAATACTGTGTGTTTTCTATATTGATTGGTGATTTGATGAACAATCAAAAATTGTTTTCTCTCAGTTGCTTCATGTTGTCAATGGTCATGATGGGAGTTTACTATGGCATCTTGAAGATCAATTAGAGCGCCAGCAGACTGAAGTTGTTCTCGATGTGTATTCAGCTCAGTACATCCCTGATGTAGATGATGATGGTTTTATTGATGTAATATCATCTCATACAGTTTCTGACTTATCAGGTATGATTCGTTGAGCAAGGTAATATCTCTGGCATTGCATTTGTACACTCTGAGTTTCTATTTTCTTACTTTCAGGAAACAGTGTTAAAGGGCATTTAATTGTTATAAGTGGCAAAGTGGGACGGATGCTGCGTATGATTGAGATGCCCGGAAGCTCTGAAAGCTATTATGCACCTCAACTGCTTGTTCGTCCTGATGGTGAAAAGGTTATCTTAATTGGGACGGGTGGTACAGCTAGCCACTCATGGGGGGGTCTTCACGCAGTATCCTTGGGGCAGCTGGCTGGGACCGATAAGGTTCCGGTAAGGTTGACTCTATTACTTGTTAATACTGTGCATTTTTTTTTAACATGTATTTAACCTCATTTTTCTCTCACATTTTTACAGTTTAAAACTTTGCTGACAAGTGACTCTCGAGGTGTCATGTCACCTCCTGTACTAATAGATATTAATCATGACGGGACTGAGGATATTGTGGTTTCCCTTTTCAATTCTACTGTTGTAGCTGTGGATGGAAAGACATTTGAAACACTTTGGAATTATACTTTCCCCAACTCCCAGACTTTCAGGTAGCCCTCAATTTTTCCTAATGCCGCTCGGTAAAAATGGATTGAAAACTTAACACTATATACACTCATACATCATCCACCTGTCTATTTATTTCTATTATAGCCCTCCTACCCCTGGGTATTTCAATGATGATGATACTCCAGATTTCCTAGTGAAGTATCAAAATGGGCCTGATTATCCAGTGTACTTTTATTCTGAGGTACATATACATTTCACTTTTTGATGAACATTTTCTGTATTTTTAGAATTGCTGTGTGATGTTTTTAATGTTTTACATCTTTGTAGATGAATATATTGGATGGAAAAACTGGATTGCCTTTGATAGAAAATTCGGTTGTTGATTCGGTTGGGTCACAGATGGGTGGATTGTCCTTGAGCATTGAGGGCTTTGGAAATGACTGGTTCCTTTATTGGATGGCCAACTGTGTTGGACATGAAGGATCTCAAAATCCCTTCTCTTTTGCAAAAGGTACCTGTATTTGTACAGTTTCAGCTATCCCTCTGTCTATTTATGATTTACATAGTTTCTCAAACATTGTAATTACACGAACCTGTATGTTAAAAGATGTTAATTTGTTATCTTTTTAATCTTCTAGGAAGTGATATAGTTGCTCAAAGTCAAGCTGATGTGTGTAGACTTCGTTTTAACAGTACCATGAAAACAGCTCTTCTTGCAACCAGTCAACACATTGATACCCCAGGGTTCCCCATATATTCTTCTGGTGAGCACTAAGGAATAAGGGAGAGTTGACAATGCACAATATAAGTTCCTGTTAAAATATTCTACAATATCGTATTTACGTGAGTATAAGACCCCCTCCCCCCCCCAAAAAAAAAAAAAATTGTCTCTAAAGTGCGGGGGGTTCTAATGTGAGGGAGCTAAGACAAATGGGGTACCCAAGCATGAGCTCATGCTCATGAGCTCCTGAAAAGTTGAGGGAAGGGGGGTTTATTTCCAGGGGAGTCTTAAACTCAGGTGAATACTGAAGTAAAGAATACAGTACATATTTTCATTTACTGATTTTTTGTGATTGTAGAAATGCTTTTTTATTATTACCACCACAGAGCACATCTTAAATTATTATAATTTTGTATCCATCTTAACAGACAAAAGAGAATCAATTGAATACAATAACTCAAAGAGAATTTTTGATGAAGCTGGAAGGTATCTTGCTTCTCATCCGGATTTTAAAAGTAGATTTGGGGCTCAGGATGACTTAATGAAAATCACTGATTTTGATGGAATGCCGTCTGATAAATTGACAGGTAAGATATTTTAATTTTTTTATCTTAAACAACACAGATTACGAGCTAAATTTGATTATTTACAGTCAATAGGCAACCATTACCCTTTAAGAGCATTGCTTTCAAGCAAAGCCCGTCAGTATTGAATAGAAACAGGAATGGAAAAGATAGTGGAACAGGAAGTTTGGGAGACCCTGACTATTCACTCATGAAAGTCAACCAGATGAGGAAGCAACCGAAGGACTATAGCTCAGACTCTGATACACAAGACTGGCGCCTGGAAGAGTCTGCAAAAAGTATGTACTGGATTTACAGAAATCGAAACTTTTTTTACAAATGGCTTTCTAAATTAAATTTTTATTTTTTCATTTGATCAAATACATAGATTATGGGTCTTTGTATGAGCCTCAATCTTCGGACAATCTAGACCAAGATTACGAGAGCCCGGTTATACCCAATGGTGATCCAGCCTCTCCACGTCTTGGGGGACTATTCAATAGTTACTTGTCAGGAGGGGTACAGCGATCTCCTAACTATGACAGTATGTTTCACGAACAGCGACGTTCTGGTAACTTCTTTTTCTTTCTAACTTGTCAAATGTTTAAAAGTTACTAGCCTTAGCTCTTCCTACCCTCTTTCCCCCTGTTTTGTAATCTCATTGAATGCTACAGGTTCTAGAAGGTCGAGACAAATTCTAATGAAGCCTACACAGGAAAATCAACATAAAGCAAATTTTAGATTCAAGAGGGAAATGTCTGACAAACTGATCAACAAAATTACTCTTGATGGCGTATACAATTCATCAAATTTTAAAGGATTTTATCCTTTAACATCTACTGGTATAGCATGCCTAGCACTGTTGAAGTTAAGTTAAGATTTGTTTTTTCCCTAATTCAACTTTTTCCCACCCTTTTGTTATCTAAAGGTACATTAGCACCTCCACTGTCAGGGGTTGGCATAGACTTGGTATTCATATCCTATTGGATACCACCTAGTGATGGTGTGCAGATTCTTACCAAAAAAGATATTGACTGCATGAAGCAAGGTGTCTCACGTGCAGCTAGTGATGAAACTGGTAAGTTTAACCAAAAGGTTCCAAAACAAATATCTTATCTGTCAAGTCTGAGATCTCAATTGTATTTTGTTGCGCTAGACAAGTATGCCAACATGGATCAAGAGTCTGTGGAACTAGCAATAACTGCAGAATGCCTCTATCAACGATTTTCAACAGATTCGTCTATTTCACGGGATGGTCGATTAGAACCTCATCCTGGGTTTCTGGCTAAAGTTTCTGGTGCACCTTCATCCACTTACAAAACTATGAACATGCGACTTGGGCAGCTAACTATTTACCGATTGAATGTACAATGTAAATGTCAAAAAACTGTTTCCAAGCATGAGTCCTGTGCAAACATTTTACCGTTTAATCAACAAAGGTGGCCTTCTTACATGGGTCATGATGGCAGAGGGTACTTCCATCAAAATTGATCATTACTTTCAGTATTTTGGTCTAGCATCATGTACTTTGTGGAACTGTCACAAAATGAATCCAAATTCATTATCCAACATCTGGATACATATAGTTGAGGATTTGCATGTACTGTGTGCAGACAGATTCCAAATACCCATGCTAACAACCATGTCTTTTCTTGGTTTTTATGCAATTAAATGTGCATATCTGCATGTCAGTGCCTTATCATAAATACCTAAAACAGAAGTGTTTGGTCACACTTCATACCTAAAAAAATTGACTTTTTGACAGTTTATTTTGAAATGTTAAGCGTAGTCAATTAGATTTTTTTTTTTCACTATTGATAGCCTGACATTTTTCCAGAGGTCCCCTTGAGTTTGGTATGAAAATAATGAAAAGTTGCTCTAACAATGTCTCACCCAGAGTCACCCTTTCATGTCACTTCGCTCTCAAAACATACTATATTTTGCATTTACCAACCCAAATATAGTTTTCTGGCACAAATTCCATGAAGAAATTCAATACTAAGCTTGCACAGCACGAGAAGTGTCCAGAAACTACAAAGTCATACTCTTCAAAAATATGTTGCGGCTACATGTTAGTTGTGTTAATTTTTTTCATTAAACTTGCTCTAATAAATATACTCATGGAGAGAAATTTAAAGTTCTAATTGACGTAATAAGAGTGATGTGATGTGACTTGAGGTGACTTGAGACATTGTGAAAGACTTCAGAGCTACATCCAGACAAGAGGGGAGCTTGGGTTGCTGTGGGGTCTCTGAGTCTGCACAGAGAACTAGAACGCAGCCTCTGCGCAGGCTCAGAGACCCAAGCGACCCTCTTGTCTGGACAGAGCTTAGAACTCATGCTCTATACTGTACTGTCTGTATCTCTTTCTACTAACAAGTTACTTTAAAGGGTGTTTGTTGCTGTGAAAATTTTTGCTAAGTTGCTGTGTTGGATAGTCACAAATAGTATGCTAGTATTCATTGGAGGATACCTTATGGCATTTCTATTTTTGCACTATCATATCTTACTATATTGTATAATTCTTCAGAAAAGGTGTATCTTATAATAAGTTACCTATCTTCAGTATAATATCCATCAAATATTTTCAACCACATGAAACACACTGTGTTTGGTAAGTTTTACCCTCTTATGCAATCTGAAAATAGTGCAGTTTTTTTTTTTTTTATATACTTCCTTGGGTTTTAAATAAATCCAAAATCCTTATACATAAGCATGTTTTATTTTTAAAAATGGTTTTTCAATTCAGCTTAGCTCATCTGTTAGCATTGTAACTTGGTGTGTCAAACCTTAAAGATAAGTATTTGTCATAGATGTAAATGTTCTAACTTGTGAAGGCCTACCTTAATTTTATTCTAAATTATTATAAGGTCCCTCTGAAAAGAAAGAAAATAGTCTGATAGCAATAGAGCCATTTCAAAATCATTTTCACTCCCAATAGTGAATTTGAAACTTTCTCCAGTTCCTTTACAACATTTAATTAATCTTGAAAAATATCTTTAAAAAGAAAAAAAAATGTGTGTTATTTGGTGGACAGTAGTGACATTTCTTAGCTCCTCAAACTGAAGCAACTTTGATACACGAGATTGTGCTTCCTTACCTAATGAGCTTTGAGATGAATTCAGGGATTTAGTAATAAGTACCTAGACATATATCGTATTTGATTGATAAATACATATTTTTCATTAATGCAAGAGGGATAGGTTCATTAAAAAAGAGGGGTAGTTGGCTGGTGGATTCCATTTTACATTTTATTGTCTTTTGTCCTGATTAAAATACACTATAATTAATAAAACAGAGTTTTAGTTTACCTTCATTTACATATATTAGCCTAAAACACCTATAGAAAACCAATTTTCAATTTGCTGCTTTTGAACATCAGATAATACTCCTTCCCTATGGTTTACAGGTTAAAAGATAAAATTATCACAGTCATATTTTGCATTTATCTGAAACATGAAATATAATGTACCACTAGCAAGTTGTTTTTAATGTAAAACGGTTTGTAGAAACAGACTACGCCCCATCCTCAGGCACCAGAAGATTAATATTGGCCCCCGTGGTTACTGAGCCTATGAAAGTTTCCTCCATTCCACGAACAGACAGTACCTCCTGGGTTACACCTACTTTCCTCTCTTTAATCATAGCAGTCCTTTCCCAGCGAGAGCTACTGCAATTAGAGCACGAGACCAAAGGAATCAAGTCAAGTGAAACAGTACGGTTACCGCAATCTGCACATTTGAAGAATCTCTTGGTAGCATCCATTACTTTGAGAGGATGCCTCTCAGTCTTGCACCTCTCTGAAGCGGAGAATGAAGTGTATTTGCAAGTTAAACATCTCACTGCTTTGCAAGCTACCTTGAACGTGTTTAACATCTTTTCTTCCATTTGCTCTTTTTTTTCCAGTTTTCCAAAATACTTTTCTTGAGCCTCATCTTCTGCTGCTTCAATAAGATCAGTGTGACGTGATTTAGTTTCCATTAGCTCTTTAAATCTTGCTTTTGTTAGTTCCTTTTCTTTCTCCTTGTCTTGCTCTGGCGAAGATCTCTTGAATTTCTTTAAAATATCTGTGGGAGTAACAGTTTCATCACGAGGGCGTTTAACAGATTTGGTCTCTTTGGGAGTTTTTTTTCTTGATTCAAATTCACGATTGTTTGGGTCCAGTTTGGAAATTCCTCCCCGCTTTTTAATAAGATTTATAGCATTAAGTTTTGCTGAGGCAGAAATTTTTTTGCTAAATGGAGCATCAAGATCAATAGTAGCAGATGAGGATAGGCCTTTGCCTAACACAGGCAGTGAAGATGAACTTCGCCCTAGTCCTAGCATAGATGGAGTAGCATTTATATTAACTTTGGCAGCTTCTTCTTGCAAAACAGCTTTCTGGGCTGCCTGTTTCAACATTCGACTTTCAAAATCTATTCCATTAGAGGCCAACTTTTGAAGCTGAATGGAACTAAGGGCTGGGGATGTTTCTACTTTATCAGGTTTTTTGTTGATTTTTGTCTTTGATTTGTTAGTAACCATTGGACTGGTTCCTGCCTGGACAATCTTCCCTTCAACTTTGCTTTGCTTTGAGGAAGGGGTTGTATCAGTTTCCTTTGATGTAGTAGAGGGCACTTCAACTGGAACTGATCTTCCTAAACCAAGAGAGGATGCTGTCATTCCAGAATTTGATTTCTTTTTATTCAGGGCTAAAGTTGCCATGACTCCTCTTGAGACAGACACACTTTCATTCATAACCGCTGCATCCTTCATGACAGATGATGACGGGAGCTTTAGAGTATCTTCAGGAGCACAACCATCCTGTCGTCTCTGTAACTCTGATCTTTCTTCAGACAACTTTTTTTTAGCTATTAGTGCTAGGGCTGCTTGCTTTGCTTCATCTGGCTGAACCTCTCCTGGTTTGAACTGAGCAGTAACAACTGACTTAGTTGAAGGAGCAGGTAATTTATTGTTATCTTCTAGAATAAGCTTACGTAAACGGTCCATATCTTTCTGAGTTTGACGGTGCCCTATATCAACTGAGGTTGCTAGGCCACTCCTACCAGAGGCCTTGCCTTTAAGTGATGGTGAGATGGTAGCCAAACCAGAAAGTGCCATCAGACGACTTTGATCTTTTTCAGTCAGTTTCTTGCTTTTCCTGGCCGGAACAGCAGAAAAGCTTTGGCCACCATAAAAGACTTCATTCTTGCCTAGGACCTTGTTTCTTAAATTTGCTAAACCTGGTCCATTGAATGAAGACTGGATATCAGACCTTCTGGAACACTTCTGATATTCTTGCTTTACATGATACACACAATATTCGCACAAGGCCAAATTGACAACTGATGTACAGTTCTCGCCATTTTTCTTTTTGGACTTACAAAATCCAAAATCCTTGGATGTTCCCAAAACCATGACTCTATCAGAATTATCTACAGATAAGCATGCTTCATCTCCATGACTTCTGCTGTTATCCATCACACCTGGGTTCAAGATTCCTAAGACTGTGCCTAAAGAATCTTTGCCATGATTTTTGAATGCACTTGAAAACAAAAATAGGGATACTGTTTTAGGATTACCAGGTCCCCTGAGGTCACTCAGTTTTATAATGCTGTAAGTATTGCCTTTAGCTGAAGTTTTGGGAGGAGCTTTATATACTATAGCACCAAAGATCACCCAATCATCAGTTATCTTTCCTTCAGAGGTGAATTGCTTTGCTTGGTTCATTGAAATAACTTTCCTTCCCACAAGGCGTTCTTTGATCACAGTGGAAGAGACCACGGGGTTTATGATTCGCATTCCAATGGATGAATCTGTATACACATCCATTGGTCCTGTCTTATTTTTGGCAGGAAGGCATAATGATGACTTGCTAGAGGCTCCTGAAGAGGCAGGTGATTTCCAGGATGGCCCACGAGTGTTGAAATCTTTAAAATCTGATAGACGGGGGCCACTTCTCTTCTCCTCCTCAGCTGTTTTGAGCATTCGTTTAACATTGCTCCCAAACCCATCCGTAGCACCCCCATATTTTCGAGCATCTTCATCGTCTGAGGAATCAGTGTCCCCGTTATGGATAGCGCTCTTCTTACTCTTACTTTCAGTGTTGTTATTGAAGTGGCTAGTTTTGTCGGCCAACTTAGACCTCGATGATGACTTGATGGGAATCCTATCAAGATCTTCTAAGACTGAGCCAAAATTTTCAACTTTAGTAGGTTCTTTGACATGGGCTGGAGCGCTGTCGTTATCGTCATTCTCTGCTAGCGCCAGCAACTCTGACAACAGGTTAATGTCAACGTCGGCATCCTCATTGTCTGACATTGCAAAGCTGGAACCCTAAGGAGATTTCAAGTTTATCACCATAAAACAACAAAAATTTCAAAAAAGGCGTAAATGTCTAAGGAAAGGGGCCAAGTTTGTACCTGAATTCCGGTGCTTTGACCTCTTTACTCAGTAAATAAGTCTGAAAACGTCAACTCCTGAAGCTGAAGGGTGTCTGCTTCTGCTGTCATCATGTCTCATGTCATGTCTTTGCCGTCCCGCTGATTCCCGCCAATGAGCCGAATAATTCGAAAACGAAGTTGAGATAGGGCGGTGCCCTAGATGGAGTGAAGGAGGAGTGCACTGTGCACTGTGAAGCTGTGAGCTTTGTTCATTATGAAACCTTTTTCAACGATCGGCTGCAATGAACACTGTACGACTATATGATGTTACCGATAGTCTCAGAATGACCAATATATTTTTTCTAGCTATTAAAGAGGCAAGTTGTGCTACAAGATGCCGTTTCCATTTTCCGCCACCGGATGGACGGCGGCGCTAGGGTCCTTTCATGAACCTTGGCTTCATGGCCAGTGTCGTCTTCGACCGAACATAGTCCATGCTCGAATGCACTAATACCGGTTGTGGCTGTGGCGTGCGATGCTACATCACATATTTCATTCCATCGCTTGCAACAGTAAAAGTTTGAGGGTTCAGTTTGTTTCAGTTTCATGTTTCATGTTTTAGTCAGCAGCGCTACTGGTGGCAGAATGTCGAAACAGTGCAGCCGGCCAAGCAAAAGCAATCTCCCCTCCTCCTTCACTTTTTTCTCTCTCAAGTTAGACATGACATCTCTGCAAATCTGTCTGCTGCTTTGAAACAGTTTCGAGGTTGGTGCGCAAATCAAAAGTTAATTCCTGGAAGGGCCTCTACAGCCTCCAATATTTCTGTATGACTGAATTTCAATTGCGTTTATCATGTACGATCAGCCCTTTAAATAATTCGAGCCCGTGACCTGATTTGACGTCAGTGTTGTTATTGTCATTCATCATTCATTACTGCACATTGTCTAATTTAATTATTCTTATTTTGTTCGCACTGTAGTAATCGCAACATATTTATTTGCTTTCATTCTACGTTCTCATGTTTCAGTACTCAATGCAACGAAGAAGAGTTTGATGGCTGAGCCTTTCTGGCTTGTTTGTACAATGGTCAGCAGTCAGAGTGAAGGTTTCCTAACTCAGTAGTTACAATTTTGTCTGCTACTCTGAAGTGACCCAATGGGTGGTACAAGTACTAAGATCTTCAAGAAAGGTGCATCTGCGTTTTCATCTGTGACGGGAACTGGCAATGAAGACGACTATCAACCAAGCAACTTTGAGAGAACATTTAAAGGCAGTCCATTTGTCTTGATCCGTCATGGATCAATGTACTTTGATGAAGACGGTGACTTGGCTCACGAATTTTATGTTGAGGTATTACCACAAGGAAAGCGGGGCAAGCCCACTATGAGACGAGTTACCGAATCCTTGCAGCCAGAAGGAATTGTTCCTCTCCCATACCCTAGGCTCCACGTAGATTATCCTGCAGTGATTTATCAAGGAGACTATTAGAAAAAAGGTAAAGTGATAACTTCCCTTACTTTGTATAAATATATCTAAGGGACAACAATTTTTTTTTAAATGTAAAATTTTTTGTTTTCAGAATTTTAGATGTTAAATATGAGACGAAGATTGAAACTGAAGACTGTGATCGTGGGGCTTGTTACCTGTCTCACTTTATGGCTACTGGTTTATTTTGGTGCTTTTACTCACTTTTTTGAGCGTACTTATGATGATAACTTTCAGTATCCATATGATGGCAATGTGCCAGAGCTCATTTCTCAACTACGAAACCATGAGCAGCCTGACATTCAACCCATCACTTCCTATAATTACACATTCCTATCAGACTGTAAGAAAAAATGTGTAGACGAAGATAATCCTCAGCTTCGTTTGGTTTATCTTATCAAGTCCGCTTTGCACAATTTTGATCAGCGAAAAGCTATACGAAATTCATGGGGTTTTGAGAGGAGGTTTTCAGATGTACCAATCAGGACGGTATTTTTGTTAGGGGTGAAGCATGATGATGTTGAACTTCAAAAGAAAATTCTTGATGAGCAAAGCAAGTTTGGTGACATAGTTCAGGCAAATTTCACTGATGTTTACTTTAATAATACTATCAAAACCATGATGGGGTTTAGGTGGATTATTGATAACTGCTTGAATTCCAAGTTCTATATGTTCAGTGATGATGACATGTATATTTCAACAAAGAATGTACTAAGATTCTTGAAAGATCCAACAAGTTATCCAGACCTAAAAGGGAGCCTGAGGGGAAATGACTATGAACTACCAGATGATGTGAAGCTATTTTCTGGTTTTGTGTTTGTGTCAGCACCTCATCGACATCGATCCAGTAAGTGGTATGTTCCTTTGTCGGAGTATCCTTATCATTTATGGCCACCTTATGTGACAGCTGGAGCCTATGTTCTCTCCAAAGAGGCTCTGCTTGATATGTACTATAGTAGCATGTACACACAACATTTTCGCCTCGATGATATTTATCTTGGTTTGGTGGCCAAGAAAGCAGGTATTGAACCATACCATTGTAGTGAGTTCCATTTCTACCAAAAACCATATGATATAAATTCTTATCGATTTGTTATTGCCTCTCATGGATTCAATCCTGAAGAACTAGTCAGAATATGGAATGAGCAAAAATCAGCTGGTCATGCTTGAGCCATTCCGTACTCATTCACAGGGTTGCCTTACTGGATTGTTGATAAACCTTTTTCAAAAGAAACAATTCTTTTGTTATGCACTCGCACTGTTCATGAGAAAAATTGCATCAGAATGTCAGCTTTTTTAATTGAAAATTTTGTAGATTCACGTTTTAAATTAAGCTTGTGTGTTTCCTTAATTAAATCTAATAAATTTTAAGATTGAAAAGTTTATAATTTCCTTTCAATATTATTGTTGGTCCTTTTTTTTTTCCTGTTAAATATGTTATCAATCTCACTAGAACTGAAGTCATTTTGAGTTTAAGTATGTCATACATTAATGTGCCGGCAAGGTGCCTAACTGTAATTTTGTGAATAAATGTCAGTTGTTATACTTCTGTAAATTAATTTTGTTACCGATATATTCATGTATTCTTGAACAAGGCCCCTCTAATGCCAGTAATTAAATATCTTTATCACATAAGTAATAATATTTTAATTTATAAAAGACAGGAGAATCATAGTGTAGAGCTTTACATACAAAATGATACAATCAAGTTATGGGGATACTTGTTTAGAGTGTTCTATTGACCTAGCTTCTTGACGGACAACACTAAGAAGTGCTTGAGAGCTCTCGAGAATCTGGAAAACACAATAATGCAGGTAATTTTAGCTAGCTTTAAAACAGATTCAAAGCCAAAGCATTTTATCACTAAATTGATAACGGTTTAACCAGTGCCTACCTTCATATATGCAGTTTCGCTGTTTTCAATGGCATTGTCATAATAAGCTTTCTTCTGAAGTCTATCATTCAATCTGCTACAAACAGTCATGAGCTTTTCTTTGACAGATGCCATTTCTTTTTCTAAGACCTCTTTTTGTTGCTCATCTTCCTTCATGCTTTGCAATAATTCTGAGCGTCTTCTTTTCAGTGCCTCAATACCTAATGATAAAAATATGGACAAGAACTGTCAGAAGTCGGACATATAGTTTGCCACTTTTCCAATTGATTATTTAATTTAACGGGTCAAGAAGTACCTTTGACAAGCTCTTGGTTATAAGTTTGAAGTGCTGCACCCTGTTCAGACATTGTGTCAAGTGAAGACTAAACAAAACTTAATACCACAGTACTTTTGAGAATTGATCGGATTTACACTATTGCACTTTTTGCCGACATAAATTCCAAATAGTAAACAAACAGGCGCCATTTTACATCGTTCTTTTATTGTTAAGCCTGCCGCGAGGCTACTTATTAGTATGAAAAATCATTAGACTTTAAATAAATAGATAAGACTGAAAAGGACTTAAAACGTTTCTTCTGTAACAGACCCCAAATTCTGCACGACAGTTTCCGCTGTATTCCGAGGCCGAAGTTTAATGGTTAACACTCCACTTTGCTAAGTTATGTTATTCTGAACACTGTAGCCTCACCGTAAATTTTGGCTGATGTCAATGTAGATGTGGTATAGCGAATGCTCCATTCTTCCCATGAGTCACCGCCCCAACCCAGTTCTAAGTTGTCAAATGTTTGGGTCATTCGGAAGGCATTCAGGAAAGACACGCCCAGAAGTCGGGTTTTTTCCGTGTTAAGTGTGAACAATTGTAGGTAAAACTCCAAACTTTCTTCTCGTCGAGCGAGCCAAGGTTCATTGCTTGGGGCTCCAAGTTCCACTCAGAAAAGTGCTGTGAAACCCGAGTTCCCAGAGCAGCAGTAGCAGTAGCCTATGGTCTTGCCCTCGTCTGGGCGAGAAAAGTATTTTTGTAAACTTTATTTCTTCAAGAAAAGCTCTTTATCGGGATAAGGCCCACTGGATGTAAAGTTTTTATTTGTGTGGTATTGAATGGTTTAAACGATGCGCTCTAGTGCCCTTTGGGACCCATAACCACAATGTTTTTGTTGATTTCTGGCTTTGTTCTCATGTTATCTAGAACTGTTTTCATGGACTGATGCTATGAATTTTCAATGTTTTTTGAAGCACTATTTGATATTAAGTTGAGGGCTTTTCTCTTTGTCGATTGTTTTTTGTTCATTTACGTCCATTCGCCTAGCCTTTTAAATTACTGGAATTGACAAGTATATGTAAGGGCAGACCAGCCTAAGTTTGTATTTAAACTCTAGTAAACTCTTGTACTGCTCATGCCTTTTAAAGTACGACCTTGGTTGCATTTAAACATTATACTTTCATTTATATTTTTTCTGTAGATTTTGCAATGACTGCAGACCAGTTTGGAACCATCACAGTAAAATGGGATCCCAAAAATTTAGAAATTCGGACCATGTCGGTGGAGAAAACTTTGGAGCCTCTTGTTCTTCAGGTATGTATATTTCTACTTACAATTGGTGTTCAGTCTATTAAATTTTCTCTTACTAAATATTTGTTAATACAATCCAATTTATTAATTTTGTTCTCAGGTGACTACACTTGTGAACACCAAAGGGCCCTCCAAAAAAAAGAAAGGGAGATCAAAAAGAGCCCTTGTGCTAGTTGCTGCTGTGGAGAAAGCTACAGAAAACTTTATTGAACGTGGGGAAATGATTGCCTATGAAAATCCAGATATTAAGTCTGAAATGTTATCTGCTGTTGAGGAAGTCCGCAAAACTGGTAAGAGTTGCCTGTGGTTTTATGTAACAGGTCATGACAACTCATTTGGAGTCAAAAACAATTTTCTTTGAGGAATTATCCAATTTTTTGACATTTTAATTTACCTATTGCCATATCTAGGTGCCGCCATGAGTCTTGCTGCCCGTGAATTTGCTGATGATCCATGTTCATCTCTCAAAAGAGGAAACATGGTCAGGGCTGCTCGTAATCTACTTTCAGCGGTAACAAGACTTCTGATTCTGGCTGACATGGTTGATGTTCATCTTCTTTTGAAATCTCTACGAGTTGTAAGTATTGTTTGTCAGCAAAGCATTTAAAAGTGCTAAGATGTTTTGGTTGCTCTGAATCATTTTTCCTTTGAGAACACTTTTCTAATTTCTACTACTCGGTTTCCATATTAGGTTGAAGATGATTTGGAAAAGGTAAAAAATGCATCTTCTCAGAAAGAATTGGTGGAAAACATTACAGCATTTGGACGCAATGCATCTGAGCTCATGAATCAAGCTGCAAAGCGTCAACAAGAGCTGAAAGATCCTCAACTGCGTGATGATTTGGCTGCAGCACGAGCTGTGCTCAAGAAGCATTCTACTATGCTTCTCACAGCATCCAAGGTAAAACTTTTACCTAGTTATTCTTAGAGTTTTCATGTCAGTACACCTATTTTGATTGATAACTGGTTGTATTTTATCTATCAAGGTTTATGTCCGCCATCCTGAACTCGCTGCAGCCAAGGCTAACAGAGATTATGTTTTTAAACAAGTTTGTGAAGCAGTGACAACTATCTCTGATGTAGCACAAGGCAAGGGACCACAAGTGCCCCAACACCCATATGATGGCCCAGGAGAACTTGCTGCTGCTTTGGATGATTTTGATGTAGGTCCCTCGTGGTATTTCTTTAATTAATCAATCAATCAATGGCATTTTGTTGTAAAATTTGTATTTGCCTTGTAGGACCGCATTGTTATGGACCCGTTGGCATACAATGAGGTTCGCACACGCCCTTCCCTGGAAGAGCGTTTGGAAAGCATTATCAGTGGTGCTGCTCTCATGGCTGATTCAAGTTGCACAAGAGACGAGAGACGAGAAAGAATTGTTGCTGAATGCAATGCAGTGCGCCAGGCTCTGCAGGAGCTACTTTCAGAGTACATGAATAATGTGAGTATCAGAATAAAGTGCTTTAAGAGTAAAGAAGATGTTAGTTGCATTAAGTTCATAAGAGCCATCCCTCCAAAAGTTTGCTTTTAGCTAGTGTTTCCTGGCTAAAAGAATAAAATGTGTTTTTCTCAGTTTTTAATGTACTGGTGTGCTTATTGTCGCTTAGACTATCCATTGGTAATGTCATTAAGTTCTGTGTCAAATCCCAAGTGCACATAAGTCAGTCAAGCTGATCAATCTCTGGTAAAACTTTGTGTAGGGGCTTAAAAACTTTAAAGTGGTCCTGATAGATATTATAATTTTTACATTTAAAGATTTTGTGTTGTTGGTTTGTAGCAAGTACAAGGTACGCGGAGTCTGCTGGTAAATATTCAACTACTTGCAATGAGTTATACCTAACAATAATGCTGTTGCTTTAAGCTCTTATTAGCACCTGGTTTTGCTCTTTAGTGACAAATCCATTGTTATCTCATAATTCAGCCATTTGCTGGATTTTCTCTCTATCTCTCTCTTTTTTTGTTTTTTAAATTCTTTTGTTTTTTTGGTTGGTTATTTTATTCTCTACTTTGTTTTTAACTGATATTTCTATTTTTTTAAAATTTGGCTGTCTAATTCGAGTGCTTGCACTCTATCATGTACTGCAGTTAACCTTCAATCTATATAAGTTTCATTTTGGTGTATTGGTGGTTCCAAGAGTCTTACATGAGGTGCAAATTATGCTAGATGCAAGCTAAGACTTTTAGCTCACTGCCTACCCACAGACTCGTTGAAAGTCAGTCTGTCTATGATACATAGTGTGTTCATCTGTTGACTTTGATACCAGATGGTTTTTCCTCAAAATAGTATTCAGTTTCCATACGTAGCTGTTCTGCATATGCATGGAACTTCATTTATTTAAGTAGTGTTTTAGGTCAAAGGTACAGTTACAAGATGTGTTCCAGGTTTCCTGCTGTCTATGTTGCCTCTATTAGTTTCCAACTCTGTTTCTCTAGGTTTTCTCACTATTTATCTATTTCTTCTCAATATCTGTCTAGGTGTGTCTGCATGTTACAACAATAGAGTGATGAGATTTTTTAAAATAAGAGCTCGGGGCATTTGCAGTAGAACCGAGCAACTGATTAGCAGTAGAATAATTGCCCTTCTAGACATTATGATAACCTCCCAGTCAACTACTATTAAAATTTACAGATCTTTGAATGAGAGAAATTTTACCAAATGATGGTGTATAGTGTATTTCCAATTCCTCCCCAAAATTTGTCACTGTGACTTTTCAATTTTATGTGCTTTCCCTCAGTGGGTCTTAAGTTTATAGATTAACATACTGTGATACTTCTCGTTTACTTGTTTTGAAGTCCATTTTATTCCATAGATGGGTGTCAAAGAACCAACTGAGAATCTTGAGAGAGCCATTGATCATATGTGTCGCAAAACTCGAGATTTACGGCGCCAACTGAGAAAAGCTGTCGTTGACCATGTGTCTGACAGGTCTGTAATACATCTGCAGTTCACTTGCTGCCCTCTTGGTTTTTAAACATGCTTGACCTTTATTAAATTTACATTGTAATAATTTCATTAATTATTCAGCTTCTTGGAAACAAATGTACCTTTGCTGGTGCTGATTGAAGCCGCTAAAAATGGCAAAGAACAGGAAGTGGAGGAATATGCCCAGGTGTTTACTGAGCACGCCAACAAACTGGTTGAGGTAGGATTTTGAGAATTTTGAGCACCTTATTGTAGAGAATTGCACAAATGATTTGTTATCGTTTCCATTCGCTCTACCAGGTTGCTAATTTAGCATGCAGTATGTCTGGCAATGAAGACGGTGTGAAGATGGTGCGGTATGCTGCTGCTCAGATTGAAACGCTCTGTCCGCAAGTCATCAATGCCGCGCGGATCCTGGCCGCCCGGCCAAGCTCTAAAGTCGCTTTGGAGAACATGGATGTCTTCAGAGACGCTTGGGAAAGCCAAGTTCGCATCCTTACAGAGGCTGTTGATGACATAACCACCATTGACGACTTCCTTGCTGTTTCTGGTTGGTAGCTCAGCGGTCAGAGTTTTCATCTTGAATCTACAGCTGTTCTCATTTCACATTATTATTTTTCTCTTTCAGAGAACCACATTTTAGAAGATGTCAACAAATGTGTGCTAGCTCTCCAAGAGGGTGATGCTGATACCTTGGACCGCACAGCGGGGGCTATCCGAGGCCGTTCAGCTAGAGTAGCAAATGTTGTAGGGCAAGAAATGGACAATTATGAACCTGGCATCTACACAGAGAGAGTTTTGGAGGCTGTCAAAGTTCTCCGTGATCAAGGTATGATTCTTTTTAAGGATCATGCTAATCCTACTCTAATTTATAAGAAAGGAATTAAAATGTTTCCCTTTTTTTCCAGTAATGCCAAACTTTGCCCAAAGAGTGGAAATTGCCGTTGATGCTCTTTCCTGCAATCCTGCCAAAGAAGTCGATGAAAATGAATTCATTGATGCATCACGCCTTGTTTATGATGGAGTGCGGGAAATACGTAGAGCTGTTCTTATGAACAGGGTAAGCCTCTTGTTTACTTTAAACAAACTTTCAAATTAAGCAATGATTTACCACATTTTTACTCCCTTTGCTGCTTTTATTTTAGAGTGATGAAGAGCTTGATCCAGAGGATGTTGAATTTGATGAACATTATACAATCGAAACAAGAAGCAAATGTAAGCATGTATTTTTTTCTTTTTACTTTAACCCTTCTTAGCCCTTCTAGTAGCTCTTAGCATGATACCTTGGTCAATTTCATGACACTAACTTTAATCATCCTCTAAATTTTGCAGCGAGTGCTCATACCAATGAACATGGAGTTGATGAGTACCCTGATATAAGTGGCATTACAACTGCTAGGGTAATTACAATACCTATGTACAGAAAACAGCATTTAGTTCCTCGTATTGAAATAACTAACCATTACTTGAATTCCTTTCCTTTTTGTAGGAAGCAATGAGGAAGATGACTGAAGAAGACAAGCAGAAAATTGCTCAGCAAGTGGAACATTTCCGCAGTGAAAAGCTGAAGTTTGATCGTGAAGTTGCTAAATGGGATGACACAGGCAATGATATAATTGTTCTTGCAAAACACATGTGCATGATTATGATGGAAATGACTGACTTCACTCGGTGAGAGTTAATTTCTTGTCTTGCTCAGTGCCCTGACACAAATATATGCATTTTATTTATTTTATCTAAATCTATAATCAATTTTTAGTGGCCGTGGACCGTTGAAGACAACAATGGACGTTATCAATGCTGCAAAGAAAATTTCTGAGGCTGGCACAAATCTTGACAAATTCACAAGGATGATTGCAGATCAATGTCCAGAATCATCTACCAAGAAGGATCTCCTGGCCTACTTGCAACGAATTGCTTTATACTGTCACCAACTTAATATTACTTCCAAAGTGAAAGCTGATGTACAAAACATATCAGGAGAACTTATTGTGTCTGGGGTAAGCTAGGAACCTACTTAACTTAATGGTCAATGTCTTATGATTCCTACCTCTGTGTTGACACATCACTGTTCTTTATATCTGCAGTTGGATAGTGCAACATCCCTTATTCAAGCCGCCAAAAATTTGATGAATGCTGTTGTCTTAACTGTCAAGGCATCTTATGTTGCCAGCACAAAATATCCACGTCAAGGAGCTGTCTCTGTAAGTACAATGTTTTCTTCTGGAAATGTGAAATTCCATTTGGTAGTCTTCATTAGGTTTTTTTTTTCAAAGTAGTGTTAATTATTACGTATCTTTAGCAACATTACCATAATGTTGGCACTCTTGGTGCATGACTGTTTGTTGGTCGGACCTATTGCCTGTTAAGAACCTGGTTAAGTCGGTTATGTTTTGGCGTAGAAACCTGGTTTCTCTTCTTCTTACCAGTAGTTTTCTTTCCTCTTTTCTTTTCATTTATGTTTCAACCCAAAGAAACAGTCAATCAACATAAATTTCTTAGCACGTTTTGTAATCCCATTCCAGTACAAGCACAATAAAGTATCTTTCCTTGTCTGTCATTGTAGTAATTTACTTTAGAACTATTGTTTTTTTCTTTAGGAAGTGACAGAAAGGGGATTTGACAAGCGTGATTCCTCTTATTTTTATTTCCCCATCACTTCAACATATGCTATTCTGTACAGCGTGAATCTGGTTTGTTGGATGGTCAATCCATTTTTGGTGTGTGTTTTGCATAAGCCTGTGAGTGTGTGTCCACACTACCCCTTCTTGCGATAGTGCAACTAATTTTATCCGAAACATGGTTCTATCCAAGCATGTTGTTTTCTTGGGGGTTGCAGCTGCAGCCTGCTATCCCTCCGAATTATCATCCGATCATCTCAATTTCAATTATATTGACGGGAAGTGGCTGACTTTGAACATACTAATGGTTGCAGTGTTTTAACATTTTACTTAGGGTTTGACCAATTGCTCATATGGCTTTTGCTTAAGTATTATCAATTATCCTTTGATGAGATTCTCTTTTCCAGCTGTGTTGCATTCTTCATTTGTAGTTGAAGAAAAACTAACTGTGTGAATTTTGCCATTGTTGAAGTCCTTTCTTTTTCCTTTTCAATTATGATACAGTATTAGTATTGTTGCTAAACTATTTTTCTTTCTTTTACAGTCTCCAATTGTTGTTTGGAAGATGAAGGCTCCAGAGAAGAAGCCACTGGTAAGACCCGAGAAACCTGAGGAGGTTCGAGCCAAAGTTCGTAAGGGTTCACAGAAGAAGGTCCAGAATCCCATCAAAGCTCTGAGCGAGTTCCAAAGTCCTGCTGAGGCAGTGTAAATCATTATCATATGATTGCTGTTTGCACAAAGGCTTTTTAAAGTGACTGTTCTCTCCTTCCGTTTTATATTATGAGTATGCTTCCGTTTTTGTATGTATTCTGCAGAACTCTGATTGTAGATTCATCTTAAAGGTCTCGGTTGTACATTATTTCATACTTCCATCCCACTTGATGGAGTCCCGTCTACTTCTGTAAACCTTGAGATTTTAGTAGTTGTTGTACCCCACAAGAAATTTCTATTTCCTTTCCTTCATTTATGACAAGATTATATTTATTTATTTTATTTCAAGGTGTATTTTATTAGTAATTTAAGTGAAATTTTATTTCCATTTGTTACATAGCATTTTATTCATGATTGAATTTGTTTTCATTTGGTTTTATCTTTTCTTACGTACATTGTGATTTAATATGTTAGTATTACTGGTGTTTATATTATCATTCTTTAGGCTGTAAGGGCAGCCCAGAAAGAAAAAAATGTTAGTACCACTTTAAGGTATCTAATGTGATACCGACACTTTTTTCTCCCTGGAAGGTAAATCATAATCTGTTGATTTTACTTTATTTTTATGCACTTAAAAATATTGATCAATTATTTCATAAATACATAATTTTATATCCATATGTATGTCAATGTGTCCATTTTCGTGCCAACAATCTGTATTAAGTGCAGCTAAACAACTACATGTTGTCAAGAATGAATTTTTCAGTATTAGTTACTCATACATTCTTGTCTCTTTTCTGTACAGTATTCAGAATCCTACCATGATTCAATCAATTATTATTTGTACTCAATCTGGAATAAAGTGTATTGTCATATACTCTGTAAGACGACTCTGACTCCTTGACCTACAGAATATGCAAGCAAGCAGCAGAAATTTTGAATCAAAAGCACGTGCGATTTCACGAAATTCTTAACACAATCCACGTTTTAAATTGACATCTCTCCAATATTGCTTTTCGGTACAAAAGTCATCGAGCTGTGCGGGGAGAGAGGGTCCGAGAGAGAGCCCGCCCGCACACCACCGTCTCAGTTGCTCGAACTGAATTTTTCATTCAAATGTGTATCGGTAAATTTTCCATAGGATCTTTGTCTCGACCCAAACCGAGGCAACCTGAAAAAATAAACCAGCTCAGTTAATCGACTGTCATTACTTTTGAAACTGGATATGTCCTGAACTGATGATCGTGGTCTAAAACGGCGCGATTTTTCTCCGAGGGAATTCCCTCGACTTCCCCGGAAGCACCGAGCCACCTCCCGTCCCGCTGCTCACGCTCGAGAGCCGCAAGTCCAGACCGAGGCAGGCCACACTGCAGACATTGACAGAGGAGAGGCAGAGGCGAAGGGGTCCAGTTGGTGCAGGAGAGAAAGTTGATGATAATGTTAATTTGTTTACGTTGGAACATCTGTCCATGCGCGCACACCCTGCGATATGGAAGAAACGTCAGGGAGTCACTCTTATGTCTGTGTGAGAGTAGAGTACGTGGATGTCATTCGCGGGAAACTGAAGGAGATCCGAGAAACTTTTCGTGTTAGTCTGCGCGAAGTGCCTCCTCCAAAGGCGAAGACAGACTGTGGTATAGGCACTGTAGGCCACCCCGGACTAAGTGTTATGTTTTTCACGGTGGAGAAGACCGGCGATGCGTCTCAAGCTGAAGTTTCCCAAATAGCAGGACGTGTTCAGGTATGTTTCATCGTTTTTCTTTTGAATTCATTTGGGAGAACCCTTCTGCTTGATCATCACAGCAGGGCATGTGTTTTTGTTTTTGTTTCCTTTAACTTTTTGAGATTTGATTTTCTTTCATCCAGTACGGTTTTCCAATTCAGCTTTTATTTGTTTTCATTTGTTCCATGGATTTTTGTTTAATTCACCCTCTTCATGTGCAAACGAGGACGATTCATGTTTGATTTTCCTCATTTTTGGGGCAAGGAAGTTCTCTTAAAATTGTCTATTTGTTATGTGGCTGAAGTTCTTTTACTCTGCTTGTCATTTTTCAAAATTATATTAATTAAACCACATGGTTATACTGTACTTGCCTTTATTGGCACTGTTGCCGTGTGGCTGGCCATAATTTTTATGACCATTTGATGAAGTTATTCTGTCCATGAAATGATACATCTCTTTTTACCCCAGCAATTTTAATTTTCACTATTCAACCATTCCCATAACTGTAAAACCATTCAGTGATGTGGTTGCCTCCCGTTAAAACCTTTATCTCTGTGCTTGTTCTACGCTCCATTGGCCCAGCATAATTCACAACATGGAAATCACCTTTTGCGCTTGACAATGATAATAAACTGCCTTTCATTTTCTTTCTGGCTCCCCTTTGAATGACGCCGTCACATATTATTCATTATTCGCCACATGTGTGACAATAGGACCGGGATGAGAAGGAGGGGGGGGGGGGCGTGAACCGGATCAACCTCACCTCACCTCAGCCCCCCCCCCCCCCCCCCCCCCCCCCCCCCCCCCCTCTTACCTCTCACCAGGCGGGCCCAGCTCGAGCCAAGCCGATGTGGGTTGGCGGATGGCGAGCCGGATGTCTCTATGACCTAGCTCGCTCTCTCTTCTCTCTCCCTCTCTCGCTCGCTCCCGGCTCCCCCTCCCTCCTCCGCACACACCAGTTTACCTGGCTGGCCGGGCGGGGCCGGGGCGGGCGGCGGCGTTCCTTCGCTGCTGTCCGTGACGATGCCGCCAGACTCACGCGGGCTCTTCTCTCTGTCCCTCCCATCTCCTCTCCCTCTCCTCTCGCTCTCTCCCTTTCTCCCTCTCTCCGGTGCGCTGTGGCCGCCCCACCCGGGCCCGAGCATGGCCATGGCCAGGAGGATGACGTCGTTGGCGTGTCCTCCGCCTGGGCGGGCGGGACAGGCGGGCAAGCGTGCTGGGTCGGAGACAGCTAAAGGTAGTGGACCCCATCCCTAGAGTTGGAAATTTTAGAGAATTTCAGAAAAAAATCCCTAAAAATTTTCGGGGTCCGGGAAATGTTTCCTATATTTCCGAAAATTTTCCGGAAATTTTCCGGAAACTTTCCAGGACTTCCAACTGCACCCACCCCCTGCCCTTTACTGCCCCGCCGTGTCCTCAGCTGGGGGGTGAGGCGGGCGGGCGTGCTGGGATAGCCAGCCCCGGGGACAGCCAGATGATGGGTCCCCTCCAGGGGTGGAACGGTGGAACCTTATCAAATTCCAACGGTAATGAGCTCCAGCAGCCCGCTTCCCCTCGTCGTCCGGTCTCACGCTGCCGTAGGATGGCGAATTCCACCCGAGACGAGCGCAGCAGAGCGGCCGGCAGCAGGTCGGCCCCGCCCGGAGGTTGGCGCGGGGCTCCAGCAGCAGCCGGCCCGGGGCTGGGCGGCGCGGGGAAGGCCTGACCCGGACGCGCCGGAATCAACTTCGACTGCCCACGCTCCTCACTGCTCAGAGAGAGAGGCTGTGCTGCTGGTACCGACCGTGCCGACCCACACACCCCCGCCCCGATCTTCTTCTTCTTCTTCTTCTTCTTCTTCTTCTTCTTCTTCTTCTTCTTCTTCTTCTTCTTCTTCTTCTTCTTCTTCTTCTTCTTCTTCTTCT